GTTAGTCTTTAAGGTGCCACCAGACTCCTTGTTGTTTTTATAGATACAGACTAACACGGCTACCCCCTGATACTTGACATTAAGGTTCAGTCATTTAAAACAGAACCCATTATATCTTTCTGTAGGACCTAGTCCTGCAAAGAAATGCAGTTCATCTGAAAAGAGCTTCTGTAGTGCATTAATATAATTGACTCCAATTTAAGCCCCTTTACGTTGCTAGAGTGGCGTAAAATGCATGAGTGTAAATGCACTTGTAGGGTTTTTTAATACTAAACTCCATATGTTCACATTTTTGAATAACTGTGTTTAAGTTTATAGACTAAGCATAATTAACCATCCATTACACATAACTTTTGTCTTGAAAGAGAAAAAGCAAAAAAGATTATTGATATCTTCGGAATTTGCTCTTAACCAATTTGTTTATTAGCAAAAAATATTTTAAACCAAACTTTTTTTCAAATGGTCACCTAATAAGTTGATGAATAACTGAAAGTGAAATATATGTGCAGTGGTGTTATAGCTGTATTGGTCACAGGATATTAGAGAGACAAAATGGGTGAAGTAATATCTTTTATTGGACCAACTTCTATTGGTGACGGAGACAGCTCTGAAGAAGAGCTCTGTGTATCTCAAAAGCTTGTTTCTCTCACCAACAGAAGTGGGTCCAATAAAATATATTGCCTCACCCAGCTTGTGTCTCTAGTGAAAGATATGTATATCTAACCATTTATTATGTGTGTCTAATGCTATTCCAATAAGGTTTTCTCAAAAAATGTTCCTTTACTTATAGTCTGTTCCGGCATATTCTGTAATTTCTTCTTAGGACTATTGTACCTTATTTTTTCACTACCTTAAGACTGTATACATACATTCCCTTCTGTACTCTGAATAGCAATCCTTCCAGGGAACTTTACTAAAGAGAGACATTTTTGAGATATTTCAAGTACTGTGTTTGTAATTGCTGTTGTGTCATGGTGCTGAGAAATGTTAGGGGGTGTTTTGGGAGGTTAATTTCATTTTTTTTTTCTGCTTCAGCTAAAAAATTAGGAATTACAGATGTGCCCACTGAGGTGGTTACCTTTATTTCCCATGCAACACAAAACCGATTGAGAACAGTGATAGAAAAAGTAACAATGGTAACACAGCACCGAATGGAATCGCACAAAGTAAGTATGTAGAGACGTGGTATTGAATGCTGTCCAATTATATGATTTGAGGTATTTCAGTAATAAATCTATTCTTTCCTTTCTGAGCAGACTATAGGTGGAATATCTGCACTGTTCGTGGCATGGTTTGGTCAGAATTTACCCATGCTTAATTAATGAGAGTTGGTAGGTGCCTTTCTCTATGATAGAACTTGTCCATGGAATGTTGCCTTTAAATCCCTGTAGTCTGATTATTTCAGTTAACAATACTAAAATCTCTTGTGGGACAGCAGTTAAACTGTTCCTAAACTGTGGGTCATGGTTGAAATTGCTGTTTCTCAGTGCCTCATGGACATCTCTGAACCATGGTAACCACATCTTGGATTGAAATTGCTTTCCTTATGTGTAAACCTGCTTTTAAAAGAGCTTATAATTCTACTTCTTGGCTGTGAGAAAAATTAGTATGTACTGTTACAAATAGAATTAGCTGAAAGGAACATTGATCCAAGTAATGAATACGTCAGAGACTACAAAGATGAGATCTTGCGTACTGGGCTGAAACTGAAATGAAAAATGATAATTTTAAATCAGCTTTAAATGTTTTATAATGCATAGCTAGTGTATTTTCATTAATAATGGAGGGAAATACCACATATTTTTCTTAGACCAGCAGTCTCAAAATTCAGAGGTTCAACACTGAATAATCAATGACATTTTCTTTGAAAATAACATTTCAAGTTAAAATTGTCCTTTTGAGCCTATTGCATGATTGTAATTTTACCGAAAAGTGACATAATTTGGGTATCTGACACTATGGGAGCTCTGGTAAGAGACTGCAAGCTAGTTTCTGACCACTGGTAATAAATAGAAAATCTTTAACAAGCAAACCAAGTTTTTATTCCTTAACCTTAAATACTAAAGATATTTTTATGCCTGTTAAACTAGTATCAAAGCAGGCTGAAGAGGTCATGATCACAGAGCAAGTGGCAATTTGGACCCCGCTTAGACCGTTTTAGGTGGACCCTTCAGGTGACTGGCTTGTCTTTCTTCACCTCCAAGATGCCACCCCATGGTCCAGTCACACTTGGACTGGCTCTCGGGGAAACCGAGGGGCTGCATCCCAACTATGTAAACGCAACAGGTCCAATTGTACTTAACTAGCATCTGCAAGACCTCATCTTTTAGGAGTCTGTGACTAGTGGCTGATTAAAGTGACTGAAATTAAACATCTTGTTTATTCATCCAAAGGTACATAGAGACCCAGACACCCTGCCACATCCTCCATGTGAATCTCTTAGAGACTCATCTCCGGCCACTGCTGCTCGGTTATTCCCACCTTTTTCTCTTCCCTAGGCCAGGAAAATTAGTAGTTTAGTATCCCCTTTGATCCCAGGCTTGGGCCCAGGAAAAATAAACCTTGCTACCATAGGCAAGAGGGTATTCCCCAATTAATAATAAATAAATTAATGGAGATATCCTATCTCCTAGAACTGGAAGGGACCTTGAAAGGTCATTGAGTCCAGCCCCTGCCTTCACTAGCAGGACCAAGTACTGATTTTGCCCCAGATCCCTAAGTGGCCCCCTCAAGGATTAAACTCACAACCCCGGGGTTAGCAGGCCAATGCTCAAACCACTGATCTATCCCTCCATATAGCTTCTCAATAGTTTATTTCTCCGACAGCGCCTTATGTATGTCATTGTTTTGTTTCCTATTTGTTTCCTCCCATCAACTTCCTTTACTTTAACTCCCTGCAGTAAAGCAGGATAGTATCAAGCAGATAAACAGAGGTGCAATGTGATGTTCATAAAAAAACATAGATTACTCCCTCATTCTCCATAAAAATGTCTGACGTGCTCCCGTACAGCCAGTGTCATAAATAATTGTTGAGTGCTGATGTTATGTTCATAGTCTTTTTGCCTTACTTTTGTCCATTTTATTTTTAATATAGATCTGTTTTTAACTTGTGTTTTAAGCTGTAAATGTTTTTTGAAGTTCTACATATTATGACAATTTCTGTAACTATATTCCAGTTAACTATAAATATAGGACCTGCAATTTATATCTAGGTTTAATTGTCTACTATTTAATCATAAAATTAAACGCCACATTTTTTCAGTTAGTTAATCCATTGTTTTGATTTATTTAAGTGTGTGATACCTCTGACATTGATTAATCAGTCCATATATTTTGTATTTAAAAATATGTTAATTAAATAATTTTATCAATTACTTGTGTAGCTACAATATAACAAATAAGTCTGTTGGCTTCATTCTCTTTTTGTAATAAATTGGTGCACCATGTATATCTTGTTTGTTAACACTTAGGGAAGATTCTAAGGCATAGTAGTTTAAAAGCCTGCATGGATTTATAGCTTTATTAAGATGACTTGTTTCTTATTTCCCAGGACGATGAATGGTATGAACAGGCTACAGATGTTCGATCACAGCTGAAGTTTTTTGAACAGTTGGAGCATTTAGAAAAGCAAAGGAAAGATGAACAAGAGAGGGAAATTTTGTTAAAGGCAGCCAAGGTACCTGTTTTATTTCCTTTTTAAAAAACAAATATTTACATAAATAGTAGCATTTATGTATCAAAAGCTAGTACAGTGTAACAAAAAAAGTATATATACATTGGCCAAGTTCATCCAGGATAATGTAGGAGAGGTTGCATAAGTGACTTCTAGATGTACCCAGTGTTAGCAGAGCCCATTGGGGGCCAGGGGAAGGAGATTCACAGCTGCCTCCAACCTTGCCCTGGGCTGGATTTACACCAGGGGAGAGGCAAAGCTGTAACTTTTACACCAGACTTTCAGGGTAACTGCCAGTGTGACCCTCTTCACAAAGCCACATTGCGTAATCAAGCTCAGCTGCCCTTCTCAGTGCTCTTACCCGTGTAACTTCCCCCCTTGCAAGTGCACATGCAGTAGCTTTTCACCAGTGCACGTTAGTCCACGTGCTCAGGTTGGATCCCCAAGAACCTTTGCCGCCATTTGTGCTGTCATAAGCCCGATGTAATACATTCTGCTGGAAAATTTTCCCCATTAGGGATAAATTGGCTGATCTGTACTGAAACTTGAGACCAGCTCTAATACTACTAGTATTATATGAAGACATTTTCCATTTAAACAACTTTTCATTTAGAGTTTTGTAAACTGATAGTACTAGTACGTTGTATGTCGTTCACATAAACAAGTTATGTTAAGCAGGTATCCAGTTTAAAATTAAAAAAAGGAAACTCAGGTGATTAATCCACTCTCAATGCACTGGGTTATCCTGATTTAGTATAGTTATTGTAATCTGTAAAATCATTCCTGCCCTGGTCTGGAGCAGTGCCAAGCACTGCAACTCCCATTGACATCAGTGGGAGATGTGGGTGTTCAACTTTTCCCAAGCTCAAGCTTCTGTTGTAACGAGGCCTCTAGATCTAGATGACAATGGATAAGATTTTCCAAGGAGTGTAAGGGAATTAGGTGCTCGACTCCCACTGAATTTCAACAGGTGCCTAACTCCATTATGTCCTTTTAAAATCCCAGCCTATATCTGCAATATTTAAACACAGTGCAGTGAGCCAGTGGTGGATTTTCACTTTTAATTCTCAATTTTCAAGATATTTTGTTTCATTAATTGGCTAAATTCTGCTCGTTTGCATCAATGTAATTCTGAAGCAATACCACATTGGCATAGAATCTGTCCCAATATATGTAGAAATGTTGGTGCGGTAATTTCTAAATACCTTCATTTGTCTGATTGAATTCTGAACGTTATGATTTCACAGTTCTTCTGGGATTCAGATGGGGAGGAATGCAACACCATAATCTGAGTGTCCCTAGCCTCTATTTGCCAGAAGCTGATAGTGGATGACAGGGGATGGATCACTTGATGCCTGCCTGTTCTGTTCATTCTGGCGGAAGCACCTGGCATTGGCCATTGTCAGTAGACAGGATACTGGGCTAGATGGACCATTGGTCTGACCCTGCATGGCCATTCTTATATACTTATATTCACAAACACATCACTGCAGCTTTTTTAAGTTTATCTTGAAGCCTGGTGCCTGTATTTTATGAGCCTATCTGTAACATATACTATAAAGATTGCTGATTTTGATACGCTCAGCATAAGATACTTCAAAGTTATTTCTAGGGAGCAGCCCTGCATTGGATTGGATATGAGGATACACTAGATGACCTAATTAGTCTTTCATATCTCTAACTGCAGTGATTATAAGGTAATTTACAAATAGGCTTATTATTTACCCTTTGTTCTTACAATTTTAATCTTCCTAGTTGTCTTTATTGCCCCTTGTATTTATACAGTTTAGTTACATATACAATATCCACAAGAGGGACAAAATGGGGGAAATCAGTACCCTTTTTAAAGAGTTGATGTTCCTAATTTTGTTCCATTTGTTCTTACAAATGAAGACTGGCCTTCAGAAAGAGCTTCTATCAATTTAAGAAATTAGTTTAAGTTAATTTTTTAATGGGCTGAAAAGAAGAATTGACTCATTCAAATGCTTTCCTCTCATCTAAGTATCCTAACAGACTCCAGAGCTTGTTAGACTGGGTGGAAAGGATGATACTCATTTGTCTTCTGCTAACTTAAACTGCCTATCTCTTTTTGATAAAGCCTTATCATTAGTTACATTTGGGAAGAATATTTTTCTGGGTCTCTTGTCAACTGTTTTTTATTTTTAAAATAGTGGCTAAGAGAACCAGCTGGTCCAGTTTGTCACACTTTCTCCCTTTCCTAGCAGACATGTATGCATGTTTCTTTTGGTTTAATTGGGATTTTAGAACTTTCCAGGAAGACATAAAACAATTTAGCCATTGCTCCTCTGAACTAATCTTTACATTCTTAAAACACCAAAGAAAATCATTCCGGACCAGAAATGTTTCCTGATGCCAAGAGCTTTACAACTTTTCATTAATTCCAGTGTAAATGGGACATTTTATTTAAGCCCCTCATTTTCTGTGTTTTGTTTTTCATTCTGTTTTGCTTTTTGAAGTTCATATTCTTTCGCTATGTCGCATTCTCACAACAGTATAAATAGGCCTGTTAATTTCCCCTTACTGATTCTTTGAATACAAGCCAGAAGGTATCATTATTACTTCATGTGTCATTTCCCCCAAAGTGTGCTCTTACTACTTCTTCGAGTGCTTGGTCATGTTGATTCCATGCTAGGTATGTGTGCGCCCACGTGCACAGTTGTTGGAGATTTTTGCCGTAGTGGTATCCATAGGGCCGGCTGTGGCGCCATCTGGAGTGCCACGCTCATGCAGCGGCATATCAGGTGCTGCCAGCACTACGCCCTCTCAGTTCCTTCTTACCGCCGGTGACGGGTGGTTGGAGCGCCTGGCCTTGCTTGGCAAGACCATTAGCAGTTCTTCACTGTTTAGATCGTTCTCCTTTGTTGTTTAGTGGAGTGATTAGTTAGCTGTTAAGCGTTTTAATAGTAGTTTAGTGGTTAGAGTCTTGGCTGGGACTCCCGCTCCCCAGGCTTCAAGCGAGTTCTGAGTGCAACCAGCCGATGCACATCAGTGACCCGCACGATAGCTGTTTCAAGTGCCTGGGGGAGTTCCATAGAAAAGACGAGTGCCAGATCTGCAAAAACGTTCATCCCCAGACTCAGGAAGAGCAGGACATTTGATTGCAGGCCCTCCTAATGGATGCTATTCTGTGCCCGGCATCAGAGCCCTCACACTCGGACTCCATGCTTTGGCATCGGCATGCAGCGCACCCCCAGTACCTGAATCCGCCTGGCACTGTTCCCCCTCACTGTTACCGAAGAAGCAGTCTAAGTCGACTGGTCCGCAGACACTGTGCAAGAAGGGAACTTCAGGCAAAGGGCTGGTGTTAGGCCTCGTTCCCACTACGGAGGCTCTCAGAGGTACCGCTGTGGTTGGACCCCCTAGCCCAGACAGAGACCCACCTCCAACTTCGGGGAGCAGTAGGGGGTCCCAGCCCATCGCAGCGCCATCTGTGCCTGAAGCGGGCCCAGCGGCCAAAAAACAGTTAGGCCAACTGGCACCTCAGATGCCTGGCAGATCCCGGTACTGACAATCAGGCCGGTTATGGGGCCGCCCCTGAAGGTAGTGGAGTGTCTCCAGTCCCTGGAACGCCGACGTCGTTCCCCTTCACTACACCCAAGGACCCTGGTACCGCAACCTTGGTCTCCGGCCAGCAGGCCCAGATCTCCAACACCACTGTCCCCAACAACAAGACATAGGACTCTGGAGTCACGATGCCAATCCCCATATTCTCGGTACCATCAGTCCTCCCACCAGAGATTGCCAAAGCGCCAATCACCATCGCCTTGCAGATCTCCCAGGCATTGGTCCCATCCAGTAGGGTACTGTTCCTGGTCGCGGCAAGAGGGCCGTGGCACCAGGGCCCCGGTACCGTTCTTTGGGCAGGCACTGGCCCTCAACTTCCCCATACTGGTCTCCGATGAGGGTCAGTTGACAGACTCAGGCTTCAGCAGCCCTGCCCTGGTCACCAGAAGGCAGTGGTCCAGGTCAGAGGGCCAGTTCAGCCCTTCCCCCATAAAGGGCGAATAGTCTCCTAGCCAGGAACCCGCCAAGGTGCCTTTGGCACCAGTATGGGGTCAAGAACAATGGCCCGCCCAGTGGCAATACTGGAACCTGTGTGTGTGTGTGTGTGTATGCCTGGCCTGTTATGCCGGTACCGTACTCCCACCGCTCCTCCCAGGCTCCATCGGACAAGCTACCCCCGGCACATGGAGATGAGGCGGCGGCAGGGCCCTCACAAACCAATAGCGCCCCCCCCCCCCCAATGACTTCGGGGAGCACCAAGACCTACTCAAGAGAGTTACTGCCAACCTGAAGTTGGAAGTCAAGGAGCTAGTTGAGGAGTCCAACCACTTCTTCAATGTCATTCCCTCCTCCGCCCCAGCCCGGGTCATGTTGCCCATTCACCCAGCGGTCCTGAAAATTGACAAGTCTGTATGGCAGACCCCATCTTCCATTCCACCCACATCCAAGAAGGCGGAAAAGAAGTACTATATCCCTGCAAAGGGGTTTGAATACCTGTACACGTCCCCTCCTGCGGGGTCCCTGGTCCGCTGTCAATGAGAGGGCCAGGCGAGTGGCACCCCCAAGAATAAAGATGCCAAGAGGCTGGACTTGTTTGGCAGAAAGATTTATTCGACACCCAGCCTCCAATTTAGGGTATCTAACCATCAAGCCCTACTCGTCAGATACAGTTTCAACCTGTGGGACTCCATCAGCAAGTTCAAGGAGAGTCTCCCACAGGATCAGGATCAGGAGTTTGCTACCTTGGTGGAGGAGGGCAAGGCTGTGGCCTCAGGTGCCCTCCAGATGGCCTGGAATGCCACAGACTCAGCGTCCAGTGTGGTTGTCTCTGCGATAACCATGAGGCATAGCTCCTGGTTTCAGACCTCTGGGCTGTCCCAGGAGATGCAAACAACTCTCCAGGACCTCTCTTTTGAGGGAACGGGGCTATTCTCGGAGATAACTGATGCAAGGCTCCATGCCTTAAAGACTTACAGGCC